CAGTGTGCCCACACAGCGCCCAAAGCAGTTTTGCTCTTATATGGGGCCAATAGAATTCATTCTTGGGAACCCAAAAGGGCAAAACTGCCATGGACCCCAAATGGGTTAGTCTCATATGGGCCTCATGGGCTTCATATGGGTTTTCACATACAGAAAACCCATATGAAGTACCCAAGTATGAAGTACCCAAAAGGGCAAAACTGTTCTAGGCCCTGTGTGCTGCCTTCGGCTCATAGGATAAATGTGAATTTGCCTTGCCCCACACAGCCTCATGTGTGGCAAACATAAGGCTGATACTGACACAGAGGGCATTCTGGTTCATCAGCTGGGGGATATCGTGCATTGTCATGCATGTGTTTTTGTTCCTAACTAAACCTTCGGAGAAGGTTTTAGAGGTGTTTATGTTTCTATCTGTTCTCTGTCCAGTATCTGAACTGGTTAACAAACAGCATTAGTATCCCAGGAGTACTGCTGCTAGCATGGAAAAAGTAAAATGGCAAAGTGACTGATGCATAATATTAGCAAAGGTTTAGATTCCAACATTATCAATTTCACACACAAAGAACTGCATACTTGCATTGATTATTATTTTTCTTATGAACTCCAATAGTCTGCCATGACAAAGAAAACACATGTTTTCTGTTCTGGAAGGAAAATTAGCTCCTGTTATTTTATTTTCTTATTTTAATTTTGTCTTGTATTTTATTTAAAAGCTCCACAAACTTCACCATAATAAGATAAGCAGATCTTCATATTTTGGGAACTAACTGCTGTAAAACAAAGAGAGAGAGAGTGAAAGAGATTTAGGAAGAAAGGGAAACTATGCAACTGTCAAGTTGCCAAGATGTTAAGATGTTTATGTAATCTCTCCCCTGAATTTTTGGAATCTTTATGTTCCTTCCCCACTCATTTAACCCCTGTCAACCCTTCTGTGTCCATTGACTTGCGTAGGAGTGAGCGTGAGCACTGGGAACTTGGGAACAGTGTGCAGTATGTGCATAGACTGCGCCTGAACAACTCAGGATCATTTCCTGTCCTCAGCTTCCAGCCTAATACCAAACAGACCTCTTCCTTAATATCCTTTCTATTTACCACTCCATGGGTGTGCCGGAAGTGAGGTCATGGTCTTCTTGGCATGGTCTTCTTATTATAATAAAAGAACTGTACAACAATAAAAAAAATAAAAAATAAAAATAAAAAACAGCATACCTTTTTAGAGGTGTACCTATTATATACATAATCTGCATACCAGATTGTCACCAATGAAAGACTTTCTATAGTTTAAAGTACTTCCAGTAAAAATACTTCATAAAAATATCCACAAAGACAGCTGAAGACACGTGCTGAAAACAGTAAAATTCCACAAAGCAATGGCTCCTGACAGTTGCAGTCATAGTGGAAACATTTCCAAAGATGCGCAGAAGATTTTGGCTGTTCCACTTTCTGGTGTCAGTGAGCCTCCTTGAGAGCATTGCTGACCAAAGATATCTGCATGATCTGCGGAGTTAAAACAGTAAGATTTAATACATCTTAAGAGCTAATCCATCTGTTTGTAATTGTGGAGAAATACTGAGTCATCAATATGTCCTTATACACCTCTATTCATGTGTTCTAGTGCGTTTCTATGTGCCCAGGTATGTGCATGTGATTTATTATTTATGAACAGGGAGTGGAAAATCACAGCAGGAAAGAGATCAGGCTCGTGACAAAACAAACCCTGTGCACAGGAGCTGCCTTCTCAGGATCCCATCTGTCCCATAAAGAAGCAACTGCATGCAGATGCCTCCAGTGTGATTTTTTTATGGGGGGGCACAGAGGCCAAAAAGACAAGCATGTGCTTTCACGCACTGGAAAAAGTGCAGAAAGCACCTGAAAAAGACCTTGATGAGGTTAATCCAGGCAATCCACGAATCTATTAATGAGCCATTTGTGAAGGGCAAGGTGTTTGTACCTTGACAAACTCGAGGATACATTAAAAATGTTTCTTTTCTCTTTTGTCTTCACTCAAACTGATGGTTGCTTCAGTGTTACTTCTTTGCAATATTTCTTTGCAGTTTGATGTCATTGTATGCTTTTGATTAAAGAAGGAATGATGCTAATTCTCTCAGGGCGCCCTCCCTGGATATTAATTTCAGTTTGCTGTTGAGTCATAGGGGTGGTGTTTTCTCCCCCTATCTCTCTCCCCCTCTCTCTAACAGGAAGACAAAGGTTTATTATTCTTTCATGACTATAATCACATTATTGCATTACTAGGAAAAAAAACACACAGCCGTTCTCGAAACAGATTGTTTTGCATTTACATTTTAAGAAAATTGCGGATGTCAGAAGTGCAAACAGCCTAAGCACTACTTCTCTTTATTCCGCTTGCTCTACTGTGGTTTCAGCCACCCGAATCCAAGCCTTTCATCAGAGGTTTCCATCTACTGTTCATTCACGCTGCCTCGCTGCGGTGCAGATCCCCAACAAAGGCTGTGCATGGCAACCTTTGGAAAATGAGTGGGTGTGGCAGCTCTCTCACGAAATGTACTGCAAATATTAATCTAGGTTAAATACTGTAGTTAGCTTTTGTTACTATGAAACCTGCCTCGAACACACAGCCTCACCTGATCCTGGCAGTTAGCTTTGTGAGCAAGTGCTATCTTGTTTAACTCTCCCCACCACCACCACTACAGTCTTTACACACTTTATGTTTCATTCTTCCCTACCTGCAGACAGACCTTTGCCAATCATTAGTCACACCCCCCTTCCCCCATCACCGTTATATATATATATATAACATATATTTATATTGAGCACCACACGGGAAGGTTTGGGTTTGTCTGACATGATCCAGGAAAAGTCTGTCTTAAAGCCATACGTGCTCTGTAATTAGACTGCTCTCATTATCTTTAAGTCATTTTCACCTCCACCTCCACCCTTAACATACCCACCCTCCTCAGACTAACCCAGTACTGGCGTGTAAATCAGCCCCAGGGACAGGTGGACATCTGCCAGTTATGAGGAGATTCAGGCAGGAATGTGATCGCTGATGCAGCACAGAGAAGCATTCAAATTCTGGCGTAAAGGAACTCGGCTTTTCCACTAAAGGTGCTACAGGTTCTCCTTCAGCACCTCCTTCATCGATGCAGACGACTGGGTGGATTTTTGGAGAGATGCCTTCCACTTTCTTTTTGTTTTGCTTGCATCCAAAGACAAAGGAGGAAGCAGTAACTTGAGAAAGTGGTGGTGGGAGGATGTTTGATTTGGAACGATGATCCTGAAAGACCAGTGGGTGCAAAATTAAATGCAGTTTCAAGTGAAGTGAGTGCATGCTTAGATTTTGGAGCCTCCAAACTACGTGGGTTAACGAGCGAAATATGTGGGATCTTGACCAGGATGTTCTTTCAAGTCCCAGAAGGGTGTAGCACAATAACAGCTCAGCTCTGACACTGACCCTCTGGAAGGATAAAATGAACACTTGATTTCACTCTTCTCAGCTTTTCTTCCTTATTTTCCCATAAAGACTATGAGCAAAACTAATGAAAAATGTCACATTGCCCCCGCAATCATATGGCTTCAATAAACCTGGCAAACACAGAGCTTGGTTAAAAATGTTGGTAGTTAAACCGCTTGCAAAATATGACAAACAAAGTTCGGTGCATGCTGAGAATACAAAAATACTGTTCATGATATGCAGCAATACAACATGAGAAAAACATTATTATTACCAGTGTTAACTCAGTGGTGCGTCAATTACTGATGCAAGATACTTTTTCATGTATCTCGCAGCTGTTCTCAATTAGTATGTCAACTCCTTCAGCGTAGCAGTTGACATGTTTACTATGTTTTGTGTGAGGCTGCTTTTACCAGTGCTGTCTTCTCATTAAAGTCGCACTATCTCGTAACACGACTCCTTTAAGTTACAAATATTCATCAAAAACACACATTTTGAATTATAAATCAACATTAAGCTTTGTCATTGCATCGTAAGTACACTGAGCCACATCGGTTTTTGTCAAGATAAAGCCAATGGAAGCTTTAGCTTACTTTACTTAAGCTGCATGTACCAGCCATACAAGCCTGGGATAGAATTAATGTAAAGTTATTTAAAACTTTATTTTCAAACTAGATTTTAACATTCTGAAAGATGCACTCACTTTCTTTCTAGTATAGAATATCAAGGGCATTCGCATATATTCATTAAATATAATTAAGCTACAGGTTATATGAGCATTAACAGTATAAACAAGGGGAATTAGGAATCCTGGGTCTGTCTGCTAACATATCTAAAGGTTACTAATTAACATGTTTTATTTAATATGTACAAAGATTAGAGCACAAATATTGCATGTTGTGTATTCTTGGTTATTCTCTTGGGATTGAGAGGCATACACTGAGAACTAGAATTCACCGCAACAAACAATTTCAGCATGTATTCTCTCCATAGCAATGCAACTTGACATTTTCAAATGTCAGTTATTAAGCGGATTACTCAGACGTGACAGATCCAGGTAGCTGCTGTTCCCTGCCTTACAGTCTTTAAACTACACAAAACAAACCGGCGGCTGGCACAAAGTTTTCTATCAACACACTTGAGAGCAGAACTGATCTCTTCCTCATAAAAGAAAATGTTCTTTTAAAAAAAATAGTTTGGAGGGAAAGAAGACTAGGATTTGTAATCCAGCTTTTTCCTGAAGCTATTCACAACACCCATTAAACGTTTAGATGCGTGGGTGAAAAAGTGCAAAGCCACAAAACAGCAGTTCTTACACCATGTAACATATTGTTTCGTTTCTTGTCAAACTGGGCTCTGCATGGAAAAACTTGGGCTAATATTCCTGGAGTTGCGTTTTGCCTGTTTTTTCAACGACAGAGGGAACCCCCGCTCTCCAGTGCTCCTACACACCCTCACCACACTACACACACCACAGCTTTCCTCCCTCCCCTCTTCTTGGAGCTTGCCCTTTTTAGGCTGTTCCTCTTTCTTTTTTCTTTTTTTTTTTTCATCTGAAAGAGGGATAGTGTGACAGCTTTTCCTGCTTGTAGATTGGAACCGGGAGAGAGAGAACTCTGTTACTCGCTCCGTCTCCAACTTTCAGAGGAAGTTACCACCTCTTCCCCAGACCCTTTACACATACTCAGGCAAACACACGCTCCCTTCAGGACTTGACCACAGCAGCAACAGAGCAACAGTCAAGGCTGCTTTTAATGCCGTGCTCTTTTTTTCTTTTCTCTAATTCAAATTTTGGAGGGAAGGAAGATTAAGATTTGCAGTTTGCTTTCTGTGAGGACTGAACAGCTTCTCTCAAGAGTGACGGGTGAGTTTAACATTCAGATCATAGAAACTCCTGTGAACCACGAACACTATTTTTTTAAAATTAACTCTTTCCTGTATTAGAGAGAGTCTGAGATTTAATTTGTTTTAGTTTAGAGAGATGCTTGGTTTTGGGAAAACCTTCCTGTGCTACAAAGTCTGATATCTGGTCTTCATCAAAGCGAGTCTGGTAAGTTTTTACAAGAAAAAGCAGCTTATCTGCAGTTGTTTCTGTTTTGATTAACTGTGTTCAAAGGTTTAGAGAAGCTTGAGTGAAGCGACTGAGTTTTAGTAACAGCAGTGTGAATACATTCTTCAAACCTTTTAAGCACCTGGCATCTTTTTTACATAAAAAACACGTTCTTCTACTACAATCTACTGTCTCGAACTAAGCTGGATCCTCATCTGCCGTGTCAGTGCATCAGAGCTGAGTTAAAGTGTTTTTAGCTCGTAACAGATCTAAGAAGAGCTGATGCAGCACCAGTTGAGACAGGACAGAAGAAACTTAAAGCCACTAGATAGTTGTCTAATAAAAGGTTCAATATAAGCAAACATCCTGTTGCTGTTTTGTTATGGTTTTAAAGCCACAAAAAAGCAGATTCTTACAGTAAAATAAGAGAGGTGAGAGAATTTTAAAAGCAGGGCACACATGGTGCGTATGGCTCTATTCATCTGTCAGTTTTTCTTTTCCTTTTTTTTTTTTTTTTGCATAAGCACTAAGAAAAGATCATGCTCAACAGCAGCTGACCATATGCCTCATTTCCATTAGTTCTAGCTTTCTGCTGGATGATTGTAGTTAGCACCTCTTATCAGAGAGAAGAGCGTTGATGGGTGGAGGCTGGAGCTGCTCTCCAGTGTCTTTTTATTCACACTATCTGAGTGGACTGCTTGCACTGTTGCCTCCCACATTCAATCAGATAATCTCCCATAGGAAGAGCATGTAACAGGGTTAAATGACCCCTTGGAGCCTGATTATCAAGAGTTGACTTCTGCCTGACCTCTCCAAGCTATTCATACTAGCAGACTTTTCTTTTTCCAAAACCCAGTTGACTCACTTGTCAGTCGGCCTGTCTTATCTGTCCTGAGGATGGTTGATAACTCTCTCCATTTACTCAGAGGTGAAAGGTCAGATTCTGACTTGATTTGCTTGTCTAAAGTCCCATGGTACCAATCTGTTTGCAGAAAGTTTCAATCCACACAAAGCCAGGATAAGTCAAAAGAACTTAGCCCACATGGATAGCATTCATAAACAAACCCAGTGCAAGAGAAGGGCTAATATAGGCAGCTAGATATATTATCGTTACTCTTTGTAATTTATGTTTACACAGGAACAAATAGCCTGTAATGATGTAATGCTATTGAAGCCCTGCAGAGGTATAGTGTGTACATACATTTGGCTGATTTAGCAGGACTCAAAATTGGGCAACAGTGCTGTTTTATCAAATGTGAACAATGCATTGTTATCACAAAAGCATCCCAGTAAACATTCTCCCAGTCCCACGTGTAGACCACCGCATCAAACTTCATGTTTCCAGTTCTTGGCTTTGGGAGAGAACAATTATATTAAAAATTGAAGTAAGAGCAATGAGGTAATTTTCCATCAGTGCATGAATTAAGCAAATTAGATCTTAATGCATATGCATTTAGTGTGCCTCTTATGTCCCTTGGACATAACTTGGACAGATGGAAAAATGCTGAATCAGGAGTTCACTGTTGGTTGCTCAGTATTGCAAATTGTCCCAAACAAAAGTTACAAAAGATGGGAATGTCAAAGAAAGTAAATGAAAAAATGTCAGCCAACACCACTGAACCACTTTACCTACATTTATTCCTTGGAGTATTTTCAGCTTGTTCCAACTTAAACATGCCATGCAATGGAAATACTGTAGTTGACTTGTGCATCACTTTTTAATTTCACATTTATTGTCACTGACATCTTTTTAGGTGAGTTGGGTTTAAAGTTAAACTTGCAGTGGTTTGTTTTGTATCTGGATGTACAGTGTATGTTTGTCCTAAGGTCAGAGTGCCTTTGATAACCACTGCATGGGGAAAAAAAATGCTTTGCCAAAAAATTGTTTATTTACAGTGAAGATGCTGTGATAATGGTTTCATGGTGCATATTTAAGCTAGGATATGAAGTCATGCACGATCAGATGATCATCAGCAGATCTCTCTGAACAACACCCAGCCCCAAAACAAAGTGCTCCATTTAAACAGCAGGCCTTCTCCTTTTAACTGTTAGTGCTGGTGGTTTTATTATAGCCGCTAACTGTTGTTACCAGGGTTGAAAATGTGGGAAAAATGGTGAGTGTTTATCACTCGTCTAGTTTTTCATCAGGTAAAAACACAGCTCCAAAATCATGTCATTCATCAAGCAGCAGCTGGTTTCACCTTAACGCCTTTTTAACACACTCATATATGTATACAGATTTAATTACTGCACTTTTAACAGCGGTTTTGTTTAATAATTATATGGTCTTGGTCAAAAGGTGATAGCTAACACATAAAAAATATATATATTTTAGGTCACTGACAAATATGAGTTTGATAAATGAGGTGTCTCCAAAACTATGTTTAGCAAAGCTTCGACTAGCCGGTGATGCCTTCCAGGACTCAGGGCTTATTGTCTTCTAGCGGGAGCCCCACTGGCCTAGACAGTCTGGTCTTTAGATTTCAGTGGATGTTTGACATGTTAAGTCCAGTAGGTTTACCTAAGCTTACACTCCTATCTTGGATACATGTATGCTGAGACATACTTGCAGCTGGACACACACATACTGAAAGAAGAGGGGCATGCAGGAAAAGACACACGTTGAAAAAATGTGCTTGAGCATGCATAAATGTGTAGTGGGCATATTTTTGCTTAGGCTGCAATATTTAGTACATTTGTTGTTTGAAACAATGAAAAGAGCTGAATGAATGTTATTTAGGCCCAGTCTGAAGGCATTATTCCACAGATAAAACAATCAACAATAACTTGGCTATTACGTTAAGTAATATTTGCAGCCTACGAGGCCACACAAAATGAGCACAAATGACAACAAAAGCACTGTCAGCAAAAGCCATGTCACATTTTTATTTTTGTCTTGCTGTAAATAAACCCTGAAAATTGAAAGGATTAGTTTTAGAGCACCATGCCATCTTATAAACTACCATTTTTAAGCTACGCTATGGTCTGTGCTCTAAGCACCTCCTCACATCTCTATTGTAAAAATATGACACTATCATGATCTAAGAGTTAACCATAACAGATGACAGTGCTGTTTGTCTAATTGCTAATGGTTACTAAAAGAAGTCAGTAGGAGCCACTACCTCAACAGCCCCTAAAATAGTCATACAAGCAGCCTTCACTTTCACTACACAAACTCAGTCCTGCCAGAGCAACACTTCGAAACTTCCCAAATATACTGGAGCTGCAGCATATTTGTGGATAGCCTACAGCGAGCTGTATGGGCCCAATCATGGAAAGGGCAAACACGTGTTTTGTGTCACAGAGTAATCCGTAGGGTCCATGTAATTGATACAGTATGTGGTGCTGGCTTGCTGCTGGATGGTGGCCAAGATCAATGAAAACGATGAGATCATGTCTCTATTTTTGGAGATTTAAATTTGTGCTGATCTAAAGCCCAAAGTAATTTAGGGAATTGTAGAGGAATGCTCAAATGAATCAATCTAAACATCCAGGAATTACTCAAACAACCTATAAGAAAAAACTGTACACACACAAATATATAAATAAACCTTTTCAGCACAACACACAATGGTTGTCACAAATTGGATTCCCTACTGCCATCAGCTATTTGACTTATACCTTGATGACGTCAGTATTAAGAAGGAGCATGGGAAATCTCTCCCTGATTTACATAGCAAAGCATTCTCTCTCTGCCTCATATCAGGAACACATCTGGGTGCTATTAACCACTTGCTCTAACCCCAAGCTCAGTCCTGCATCTCTATTACCCTCCCATTACCTGCCATAACCCACAAAACATATTCTCCACAGGGCGAGCAGTACATTGAAGTTCACTTCTTCATGACATGAAGATGGAAAGGAATTAATCAGGGAAAGAGATGCTTTGCCCTGAGTCTAGCTGCCATCACGTTGGGACAGTGAATTCCTAACCTAACTGTTGTTGAAAGCTAAATATCTGTTGTAAAATAATAGGCTGACAATACTGCCGGGAGTTTGTGTTCACTCCTGGAAAAGGGTTTGTCCTTGAAAGAAAAGCTGTTGTTCATTAGGCTTATGTAAAATACAGTACCCAGAGCCATCAACGCATAAAAACCAAAGGTCTTTTTCAGCATCGTATCCAACACTAAAAGACATTCAAGACTCTCTAAGAGTCTCAAGAGGAAACTTAATAAATGCTGGGCATGTCCTGACTTTTAAACTCGCTATGCTGTTTGTCTTTGCAGCTGGCTGTAGCTAGGGTGAGTAGTTCAGAATGGGGTCAAATATGATTGAAATTCTGTTCGTTTTTACCAACCGTGAATGTTACATGGGTAATGTTTTTCTCGATGATTTAATCATGTACTATCAAACTACTGGGAGTGGTTGGGTTCTTGTAGTAGTTCTTGAAAACTGAAAGTCTTCATGTTCATATTGGCAAAACAATCTTCGGTCATCAGCAGACAAAGCTTTCACTGTGCTCATCAAACTTTTCTTGATCTGAGGCTGGAAATAAATGCTGACCTTGGAAACTTGAGGTAATGAGACAACCTGCACTCGAGGACCTCTCATTCGCTTTGGACGATGCTCATAGTCTTCACCTGCAAATGTGGTTTGAAGCCCCACAGGCACTTCAATTCATGGGAAGTTTGAAATCCTGCTGGTCTGTGATAACAGCGAAAACTTCATCTGCTTTTGTAATCAGTGTGATTCTAAATGGACAAAAGACAGCAGGTATACTTTATATTTTCAACTCTCATTTCCACTGTCAGCCCCAAAAAGCTTTTTTAAATCTTATTTGCATGTTAAAGCACTTCCTAAAACACATCTTTACATTGAAGTTACATTGACCACTCTTTGTTTAAATAAATGGTGGAAAGAAACATAACATTAATTTTAAAAAATACTTGATTTAGTTATTAACTGTTTGATCATTTTTCTAACCATTTGGCTTTTAAGAAGCATTTTAAGAGAAGTGGTTCAGATCTGCTGGCCAGCTACACCCCTCTGTGTGGAGTGCA